AACATGCATAACACTAGTCAGAACATTTTGTAGGTCCATTACCAGATATCGCTTTAATGTGGGGTTTAATCTTTTATGGCCATTGGGTACTGGGGCACATGAATTGCTGGACCTATGGAAAACACTGAGTACTTTCTGATTGGCAAATGGGGACACTGGCTGGGTAACTGACAAATTTACATGAACATCTATTAAAAGTTTAACAGGCTTTCTTTTTATATTGACTGTTAACATGGGTTTCCTCAGGCTGAGAGGGGAAGACCCATGACCACTTCAATTTGAAACTTTCTCTGATTCCATCATAAACACTTTTCTTTTTTTTCTCTAGCAGCTATAGACATTGCTCCTTGAAATGTCTCTTCTCTCTGTCTGGCTTTCCTGTAGGCTGCTAGTATCCCCATTCTTATTTTCCATCTATAATTCTATTCTGTATCCTTTTTACTATGAAACACCTCAACTCAGACAGATTCATTCCTGCAAACCCTTCTAACTTCTGCAGCTTGTGTCAGATATCTGGGGTCCACTAAGTAAGGTACAACTTTTTGTTTTTAAGGCCTTCTGCAGGTAGGCCTGACCAAGGAACACAAATAAAACTTTCCTCGTAATGAGGCAGGAAACCCAGAGAAGACTCAGATTACCTGGGCTCTATCAGGTGGACAGTTAGATTAGGCTTTAATACGTGTTTCTATAGACAAAATCTGGTGGATCCCAGCAAAAGGAATCCTAATCTAGCATATTTGTTAACAGATTTTACCTGCATGATTACCTGGGTTTTGGTATCTTCTAGGACAGAACAAATTACAACATGTATAATCAAAGCACAAGCATTTGAGCTAACAGGTAAATGTATAAACTTTGAGGCTAGCAATCATAATCCACTAGCTTTTAGACCCCTTTATTTATGGAGTCTGACAGTTTGTTATAAGTCCTTCTAGCTCTACTTATAATTATCTCTAAATTTTGAGAACATATGGAAACCAGATTAATATCTTATTTTTACTGTCAATGCTTTTAAGTAATTTAAGTACAGTTTGGCATATTTTCCTAGTTACACTTGTATTTACTATCAGCATGAAATACCTGAGTTACATCAGAAATCAACCAGGCTAACTTAATACACTTATCATGAAATACACAGTATTCAGTCAGATTAAACCAGTGTCCCATTCAGTTTTGGATATGGCCCCTACTGTAATCAAGGGGCACTATAGAAGGATTTATCTTTTTAACACTGGCTCTGAGTTTTATGTTCTAAAGACAAGGCCTGGCTCTACCTATAGGCCCAAAGCTGTTTGACACTATGTAGCTAGTGTCTCTAGAACTTTTTCACATTGACAGGATTTTATCTGTACATGAACAATATATCTCAATTACAGCTTAAAACAAGATGACGATGACTG